AAAAAAAAACATAACCACCACGACCCGATCGTTAAGGAGATGGTGGGTGGTGGATTTAAAACACCTCGTCATTAACGAGCCAATGGCTAGGCTATCAGTCGGGCCGCCCAGGTCACCCTTTTTTCCCGGGCGGTCCGGCTGTGCCAGAACCAAGGAAGATCCCTGCAAAAAAAAACCAAAAAAAAAACTGAAAAAAAAAACTATGTCATGCAGAAAAACAAACTGAACAACTTTTGCCTCAGGGTCACATCGAACGAAATCCATTGCCAGATTCAAAATAAAAAATAAAATAAAAAGTATTAAAAACTTCTTCTTTTTTTTTTTGGCCCGGCCGGGCAAGTGGTGGTCCCGGGCCGCTCTTTGAGAATTTTGAGTGGGAAGCACGGCGCAGAGACTGGTCTTGCCAATCTTTGCATACCTTCGTTCCATTCGGACCCGTCTTCCGTTTGGACCCCTCCTATTCGGCCCCATTTCCCATTCAGACCCCTGCTTCATTGGGGTTGATGATCGTTTCAGTTTCAGAAAATTTATTTGCACAGGGAGTTCCGTCGGATGTGCAAGCTCACAGTCCATACAAAGTAATTCCTTTACGTTTCCAAAATTGCGAAGAAGTCTCAAAAAGATGCAAACAAAATAAAAAAAATCCTTGACTTGGAACTCCTGTGTCAAATCACACAGAGGCACTTGCCGCCTCCAACAACCCCCCCCCCACCACCTCTCCTCGACTACGCTGCAATACGTCAAAGAACGTCAAACAAATCCTTCCTTCAACTCCTCTGTAAAATCGCACAGAGGAAATTCTTGACTGTCTTTTTTTATAGTCTTTTTTGCCCCAATTTTGAACAATAAATGATACTAGAACCAAACCGAGGATTACCTAAACCCCCCCGGCGCTTCTTGTCAAAAAAAAAACTTCTGATTGTAATAATCTCTCTAAGAATCTATGCAAAACTTGTTTTGATTTTCATAACTTTTGTTGTGTGTTCATACTGTGCGACACTTCTTCAACTACACGAGTACAAAAAAAAAAAAAAAAAAAGGAATGTCTCACGAGTCACTTCACTTTTTAGCAACTTCAAACTTGGACAGAATGCCCATATCCCTTGGCATCCGAAATTGTCACAAAAAATCCCACCCCGCCTATCCAAACAACTAGCTTTCCAGCCCGGGCACCTGGGCCACCCGAGGTCGCCCGCGCCCGGCCGTGCGAGCCCCCCGGCCAGGCCCCCGGGCCCCCACACCGTCCGCCCCCAAATGATCCAAATCCCTTTGAATTTTTTTTTGGGCGCTGCGGGCTGGAGGCCCAGAGGGGAAAGAAAAAATTGGTGGCCGACCCAATTGTTTTGGGGGTCCGGTAGGCCGTATTTCGTAGTTTTTTTTTTTTTTGGGACCTGGGCAGTCAATCTGCGTTGATCGATGGCGCAGAAGTCCCAAGATTTTGAATTCGAATCTTGCGCCATCCGCCCTACACCCCCGCGCCAGTTCGTTGTTTCCCCGCCATTGTTGCCCTGCCGTGGTCGTCCTCGCCATCGTTATCGTCGCCCTGCCAAGCCGTCATCATCATCACCCTGCTGCCCTCCGGCGCACTACCGTCGTCACCATCCAGCCGCTCCATCCTCCTCACCCCTGACGAAGACTGCCTGCGCCGCGATCGCCTACTCAGGTGAGTTTTTTTCTTCTTCTTCTTCTTCTTCTTCTTCTTTTTCTTCTTTCTTTCCTTCTACTTTCTTCTTCTTCATCTCTACTACGTCTTTATTTGTTCTTCTTCGTTTTGTCTCATTCTTCTTCCTCTCCTTCTCCTCCTCCATTTCTTCGTCTTTTTTCCTTCTTCGTTGTTTCTTAGTCTTCTTTCCTTTTTTTTCCTTGTCGTTTTTTCTTCTATTTGTTCTTATTCTTCATCCGTTCTCGTTTTTCTTCTTCTCTTTCTTGTTGCCGCCTCTTCTTGTTCTTCTTCTTCTTCTTCTTCTTCTTCTTCTTCTTCTTCTTCTTCTGCTATCCTCTTCTTTCTCCCTGTTTCTTCCTCCGCCATAGCGCCTCATCAACAAATCACCATCTTTTTTGGGGGGGGCGGAATGCTTGATTATACTTCGGCTCCGTCTGCCATAGCCTCCCTCCTCCCTCCATAGACTCCCTCCCCCCTCCTCCTCCATCAGTCTCCTCCCTCGTTAGTCTCCCTTCCCCCTCCTCCTCCCTCCATAGGCTCCCTCCATAGGCTCCCTCCAAAGGCTCCCTCCCTCCTCCCCTTCTTCTTTATCTTCTTCTTCCTCCTCTTCTTACTCTCTACAGTCCTTCTGGGACACCATAGTTCCGTCTTTCCTTCTTCTTCATTAGAGTTCTGCCCCTACCTCCTCCTACCTTCACTAGAGTCCTGCTCCTACCTCCTCGTACCTCCTGCCATGTTTCCCCCTCCTCCCTCCTTCCCCCTGCCATAGTCCTCCTTCCTTCCTCCCGCCGAAGTCCTCCCTCCTCTCTCCCGCCATAGTCCTCCCTCTTTCCTCCCACCAAAGTCCTCCCTCTTTCCTCCCACCAAAGTCCTCCCTCCTCTCTCCCGCCATAGACCCCCCCCCCTTTCCCAACAGAAACCAACATGGCTGAAAAAAAAAATGAGGGCGGATCTGGGCAGTCCTCGGCAAGCGCAGCAAACCCCTGTGGATCAAAAAGAAAAGAAAAAAAAAATCGGTGGATTTTTTTCATGCCCGGGGAACCCCAGGTGAGGTACCTACCCAGGCCAGGTGCCCGGGGCGCCCGGCCGAGCGCCCCGGGAAAGCTAGCCAAACAACCTTTTTTTTTCTTATCTCTTTTTTCTTTTTTTTGTTTTTTCTTTGTTTT